CCTCCCCTAGCGCAATCCCTTCACGCCATTTCCCCCTTTCCTCCCCCCCCCGTCAAGAGGCTCCACCACCCCTTCACCTCTTTACATCTTTACACCTATAGTATTATGAAACAACGAAAATGAGTAATAATGTAATAATAGCATAATTAATTGACATCATGTAATTAATTGACATTATGTAAGTTAACATGTTGTTCGGTGTGGCAGCGCCAAGTGTTTTTGTATTTTTTAATAAATATTTTGTTATTTTAACTAAATTTTTTTAATCAAATTTTGATCAGTTTTATTTATACATTTTATGAATATTTTATGTATGTTTATTTTGGATTTGCACCTTGAATAACATATCAGTTACTTTTCATGTTGGTGATATATTAAAAATTTAGATAATTATTAAAATATAAACATATTAGAATGTCTTTTTTGGAACTTGGCCAGACCTTATCATTTATGAATTTTTGTGCTATCGTACTTTACAAACAGTGGAAAGCCGATTGCGCGCGCTGCTCAGCGATTGAAAATCGGTGCACGGAAGGCGGAATCACTCTTGTGCGATTTGCCGTCCGAGGAAGGACAATGGGAAGATGTAAGTAACCTAACCTCATTTTTATTTTCCAATAATCGTAAATGCGTTATTTTTAGTTTATACACTATTTTCTTTTCAGCAAAAAGCGAAGGAAATGTGCCGAGGACGGAGACGTCCAGTATGAAGACGGCGATGGTACTGTCGTCGTCCATTACGAGAACGGCAACAGTACCGTTATCGCCTAGCACGAAAGCGATGACGATACCATCGTCGTCTTACAATACGAGAGCGATGAGGGTACCATCGTCGTCTTATAATACAAGAGCAGCGGTAGTATCAACATCGAGAGCTAACGCGGGTATGTCGCCGTCACCGCTGCCGCCGCCGCCGCCGCCGCCACTGCCGCTGAAACAATTGCAGCAGACGCAGCCAACGTGGGGTGCGAAAACGCTTCCAGCAGAAAAATGTAAGTATAAATTGAAAAATATAAGTGCAAATAAGTGAACGTGGTGAAGTGATGTATATATGTATTGCGTATGTGTATTATGTGCGCATGTGTGTACATATGTGTGTATTGTGTGTGTAATGAGTGTAAGGTAATAATGATGCGGCGCGTTGTTCTGTTTCTCATTGAAAAGATATATAAGACAAAAAGAGAGTGAAAGAAAACATTTCAATGAGGAACAGAATAACGCGCTGCATTATTATTGCCTTACACTCATCACACACAATACACACATACATACACACGCGCACAATACACATACGCAATATATATATTTCACGTTACATTTTTTAACTCTTTTTATTAATAATTTGAAATTTTATGTGTTTTAGCGATTGAATGAAGCAGTGCGGCGAGCGATAAACAAAGAGCGACGACGCACCGCAAAACAATCATCTGTTGGCAATGGAACACCATTGCCAATGATGATCTATGCCGCTCCTCCTCCACTGCCGCCTCCACCTCCATCACAATATGGATCGCCATTTATGTACACAGAGAAAAATATCATTCTATTGCCAAGAAAAGTAATTATTCGGTTTACTTTTCTTCTTTTAAGTAACAATTATCTTTAATAAAAAATATTTTCTTGATAATAGTCTTAAAATATACTCGTCACAAATTTTTGATAAACTCATCATCATATACTCAAAAAAAGTAATTATTTTCCGTTGAAGAATATTATAAAATTTTATCGAAGAAAAGTCAAATTTGGTTAATTTGAATATTTGATAATATATTAATATAAGAAAATTTATTAGATCAGAAAAATTTAGTGTATTTCTTCCAATTCCATGTGTGGCGACCGTTCGCCACATGCCCAACTGAAAACGCGAGAATAATAACAAGAAGACGGAGAAAGAGACAAATATGTACGTACGTACACAGGTAACAGAGAAGTAACGAATAAACATGTTTTCAAATTTCACGAAGGACACGGGCCCCCCACGGTCGAACGAAAGATATAAGGCAAGGCAGAACGATCTCGCGCTTCGGCCGAGTAAGAGGAAAAGATAGAGTCGCGTATATACTTGTAACTCGGGCAATTTGCTGATAAGTTTTATATTAAACAGACAGTTCACGCACTCGATTTCAATTTATTTAGTGTACGATCACTCACCACCATTCCCATAGATATCCCAAAGTGGCGACACCGACGTGATCATTATTTTTTTTATCGATTATTCGTTTTCTTCGGACTTTTAATATTTTTTTTTGTTTGGACGACCAAGAAAAAGATTTTTCGCTGAATTGGCGTGTGTTCGGTGAGTGATTTCAAGAGTGCAACGATATGCCTGTCCTCCGAGACGACGGGGAGCAGCCGCCTGTGCCGCCGCTGGCGCAGCCGGCGGGGCAGCCTGCGTTGCAACCGGCGGTGTTGGGGCCGCCGGGGCATTTTATGCCTGGACCCGAGGTGAGTCGAGTGGGCATGCGAATGCCAGAGTTTTTGCCCGCGGATCCGGAGCTGTGGTTCAGCATCGTGGACCGTAGTTTCCACGCCGCCGGGATAACGACCGACTCGACGAAATTCGGGTACGCGTTGACGGCTATCGGTCCGCGTTATACCACCGAGGTTCGAGATATTATATTGAATCCGCCGGAGGAGCGCGCGTACGAGACATTAAAAGCGGAATTAACCAAACGCCTCAGCTCATCGCAGGAGCACAAGACGCGTCGCTTGCTAGAGCACGAGGAGATCGGCGACCGCAAGCCGTCACAATTTTTACGTCATCTTCGTAGCCTTGCCGGTAACGTCGTCGGCGATAGGGTGTTGCGGACGATTTGGCTGAGCCGTCTACCCGCTCATATTCAGCCGCATCTCGTGACGCGAGCGGAGGATTCGCTGGATCAGGTGGCGGACATAGCGGACACCATCGTGGAGGCGACGCGTGCCCCGTCGCTACAGATCGCGGAAGCCGCGCGACCTTCAGTTTCGCGCGGCGCGGGGCAGGACGACGGGTCGGCATTGGAGGCGAGACTTAATCTACAATTGGCACAGATGCGTTTGGCGTTGCAGCAGGAGATGACGGAGCGAGCTGACGGCCATACGAAGGTCCATCGAGGCAATCGGTGAGCCCGACCAGGGCCGCGGCGGCGGGCGACGGCATTCGCGCTCGCACTCGCGCTCGCATCCGAATTCGCGTTCGCGTTCGCGTTCTCGACCGCGAAGTCACGGTCATACATCAAATGGCCTGTGCTGGTTCCATTGGAGATTCGGACCAGACGCGAGACGCTGTGAGACGCCGTGCTCCGCGCAACAGCAGGCGGGAAATGCAGGGGCCCGTCGTTAATGGCGACGAGCGATTCGGGCCATCTGACGCGCCGCCTCTTCGTAACCGATCGCGAAACGAGAATCGATTTTTTGATTGACACGGGGGCCGACCTGTGCGTCTATCCGAGGAGGCTGATACGGGGTCCGCGACGGAAATCGAGCTACGAGCTTTCGGCCGCGAACGGAACTGCAATTTATACATATGGAGCGGAGTCCTTGACATTAAATTTTGGATTGCGGCGAGTTTTTGCGTGGCGTTTTGTCGTGGCGGACGTCTCCAAGCCAATTATCGGAGCCGATTTTTTATCATTTTACGGGCTGCTAGTGGATTTGAGAAATGGTCGACTAGTGGACGGCACGACGAGCCTGACAGTGCAGGGACGCTGTTCGCGATGCGAGACTCCGAGTATTAAACGGTGACAGGTGCAACTCCGTACCACGAATTATTAATGCAATATCCTGAGGTGACAAGACCGGAAGGACGACCGGGCGAAACTAAGCACGATACGCGTCATTTTATTAAAACAACGCCGGGTCCGCCGGTGGTGAGTCGGCCGCGGAGGCTTGCGCCGGAGCGTTTGGCGGCCGCGAAGAAGGAATTCCGGAGAATGATGGAGCTCGGAATCGTGCGACCGTCCAGGAGTTGTTGGTCCTCGCCTTTGCACATGGTACCTAAAAAGGGCGAAGAATAGAGACCTTGCGGAGATTACAGGGCACTTAACGCTCGAACAATCCCTGATTGCTATCCGGTGCGTCACATTCAGGATTACGCACAGAACCTGCAAAGGAAAAAAAATCTTCACGACATTGGACCTTGCCCGGGCGTATCATCAGATCCCGGTAGCTGAAGAGGACATACCAAAGACGGCAATAACAACGCCGTTCGGCATGTACGAGTTTCCGTGCATGTCATTCGGGCTGCGAAATGCCGCGCAGACTTTTCAGCGCTTTGTGGACGAGGTTCTTCAGGGCTTGGAGTTTTGTTTCGCTTATATTGACGATATATTGGTCGCGTCGTCATCGGAGGAAGAACACGAGACGCACCTGAGAGCGCTGTTCGAGCGATTGAAAAAATATGGGGTTGTAATCAACCCGGCTAAGTGCGTATTCGGGCGGCCACAAGTAGAGTTCCTCGGGTACCTGGTGACCGGAGAAGGAACTCAGCCATTGCCTGGGCGAGTGCGGGCTGTTCAGCAGTATCAATTGCCAGCGACAGCCAGGGATCTTCGGCGATATCTGGGAGTATTGAACTTTTATAGAAGGTTCCTGCCGAGAGCTGCCGAGGTGCAAGCACCGCTTAATGACCTACTGCGAGATAACGCAAAAGGAAAGGAGCCGGTACCTTGGACGCCGCAGGCACGGCAAGCGTTTGAGTTATCGAGGGAGAGCTTGGCACGGGCCGCTTTGTTAGCACATCCAAGGATGAGCGCGGAGTTGGCTGTGTTTGCGGACGCCTCGGATCACAGCGTCGGAGCCGCACTGCAACAAAGGGGAGACAACGGTTGGGAGCCGTTGGCATTCTTCTCGAAGAAGCTAAGTCCAGCCGAAGAAAAATATAGCGCATTCGATAGAGAGCTGTTCGCGATATATCTCGCAATCAAGCATTTTCGACATATGCTAGAGGCGCGAACTTTCGCGGTGTATACGGATCACAAACCGTTGACCTTCGCGTTTCGACAGAAACCTGATAAGTGCTCGCCGCGCCAATTTAGACACTTAGATTTTATAGGACAGTTTACGACAGATATTCGATATATTGCCGGTTCCGACAATGTTGTTGCCGACGCGTTTTCCAGGATTGACGAGATGCAGTCACCCATGGATTACATAGCTCTAGCGGAGTCACAGAGATCGGACGAGGAGCTCAGAACGTTGTTGAGCCAGGAAGCGAGTCTACGACTGAAGGAAGTAGAGGTCCCTGGAGCAGGGGTGACTGTATATTGTGATACAACAACGGCAACGCCGAGACCATTTCTGACGAAGGCCTTTCGCCGAATAGCATTCGAGAGCATTCACAACCTGGCACATCCAGGTATAAGAGCAACGCCAAACTCATATCCCAGAGATATGTTTGGCCGTCAATGAACATAGATTGCCGGAATTGGGCGCGAGCATGTGTGCCGTGCCAACAATCCAAGGTCACGCGGCACGTCGTGGCACCCGTGGGAAAATTCTCTGCACCATCTAGGAGATTTGAACATGTCCATCTGGATATCATTTTGATGCCTATCTCTGAAGGAAAGAGATATTGCCTCACGTGTGTTGACCGTTTCACACGATGGCCGGAGGCGTTTCCGCTAGAAAACCAGGAGGCGGAGACGGTTGCCAGGGCCTTCTACGAGGGATGGATCTGCAGATTCGGAACACCTCTGCGAGTCACCACCGATCAGGGTCGTCAATTCGAGTCGCATCTCTTCCGTCAACTGAGCGAGTTGACGGGAACAACGCACCTGAGAACGGCAGCATACCATCCGCAAGCGAATGGTATGGTGGAGAGGTTTCACCGTCAGCTCAAGGCGGCAGTGAAATGTCACGGAGGTAGCCGTTGGACCCGAGTGCTGCCGACCGTTCTGCTGGGTGTGCGAGCGGCCTGGAGGGAAGATCTGCAAGCAACGGCAGCGGAGATTGTATACGGAGAGACTCTTCGTCTTCCGGGACAATTCCTAACTCCAAGGCCAACAGAGGACGCGGAAGGCGGCGCGAATTTTTGTGAAGGAATTGCGCCGCCGCCTTGACGATCTACGACCAGTCGAGGGGACGCGCCATGGAGAACGGCGCCCATTCGTGTTCCAAGATCTGGAGACAACCAGTCATGTATTTGTACGGCATGATGGTCCAAGAGCGATGTTGCAGCCGCCTTACGACGGCCCGTTCACGGTTGTGAGACGCGGTGGCAAGGATTTTGTCATACGCGTACAGGAAAAAAATGTAACGGTCTCGATAGATCGTATTAAACCAGCATATTTGCTTTCAGAAATGTTAACAGATGCTGGGGAAACAAATCCAGCAGAAACACAACCGAGCGGCCGAGACAATAACGCACGGGACCGTGACCGACGGCAAGGCGAGAGCGCGCCAATTCCTGTGGAACGAGCGGGAGCGGTGACGAGAGCCGGCAGAGGGGTTCGTTTCCCGGATCGTTTCCAGGCAGGCCTCAGATAGCAAGATTTTTTTTTAATTTTATGTAATGGATATCTTTTCTATGTGACAAATGTTAAATATATAAAGATATAAGACCCGAGACGCGTAGTAGCACCGTAAATAATTATCGCTACACTGTGTATATAATTTCCGTATTTTATTTTAATTTACTTCTCTTTAATTAGACGATTTTTTCTTTTTCGGTAATAGCCTGGCGCAAACGCAGCGAGCTGGTTTAATCAATGTATTAGTACTCGTTATTATTTATTCATTTATGGCGGACTGCATATTATTTATAAGTATAATTCATGAGGTATTTCTTCGAATACTCTTAGCGCGATTGCGAGATAATAGCATAATATCGGGATGTACATCACTGGCAGGGGGGTCCTGTGGCGACCGTTCGCCACATGCCCAACTGAAAACGCGAGAATAATAACAAGAAGACGGAGAAAGAGACAAATATGTACGTACGTACACAGGTAACAGAGAAGTAACGAATAAACATGTTTTCAAATTTCACGAAGGACACGGGCCCCCACGGTCGAACGAAAGATATAAGGCGAGGCAGAACGATCTCGCGCTTCGGGCGAGTAAGAGGAGAAGATAGAGTCGCGTATATACTTGTAACTCGGGCAGTTTGCTGATAAGTTTTATATTAAACAGACAGTTCACGCACTCGATTTCAATTTATTTAGTGTACGATCACTCACCACCATTCCCATAGATATCCCAAAATACTATAGACAGTTAATTTAACAATATATTCCAAATAAATTTTGTTATAAAATATAGCGCTTTTTAATCTTTCTCCCATATTTAAGTTAGAAATAAGTTTATACTATAGACAGTTAATTTAAATTTTATTATTTTTTTCCTCCTTATTTTTCCTCTCATCCTAAAAATATCATTAGAAATAAGTTTATACTATAGACAGAATACAGATTCAGATTTAAAAAACATAATAAAAAAGAATAGTTAAGAAATTATATACCGAAAACATTTGTTTAAATGAATTGTAAAGAGTGTTAGATGTGATCGCTGTAACTTGACGCGCGATAAATCGGTACAATCGACGCGTTCTCTTATATTCTACAGCGGGATGATAATGATAAAAAAACTTACATTTTAAATATAAAATTTTTTATT